GCGCGGAGATGAGCGGCTGTAGGTTTGCGAAGGTCCTGGGGAATCCCTCGACGATCTACGTGACGAAGATGTCTTGGATACTGTAGCTGGTGTCCTTCGCGAAGGCCTTCGTGAACGTTCATCTGAGTCCGCATCTGGGGAGGGACGACTGGTCCTTCGCGAAGGCCTTCATGAAGGCCTTCGTGAAGGCCGGTTGTCCGAGCCAGATTCCGGGGATGAGCGATTCCTCCTTCGCGAACGCCTTCGCGAACGTTGATCATCCGAGTCCGAAGCAGGTAGCCCTTCGCGAACGTTGATTGTCAGAGTCCTCCGCAGGGGCTGGCTGAGTCGACCTTCGTGCAGGCTGGTCCGTAGGTGTAGGTCTGTTAGCAGCAGTCACGTTGATGGGAGGTCCCTCGGGGATGTTGTCTGCGTTGGAGCCTTCGCTTGGGCCCTGGGCTGGCTGTTTCTTTTCCAGGTCGTAACGCTCCTCCATCATCTCCATTATCTGCTGGGAGAACTGCTGCATAAAGTCGCCCGGGAATTATAAGGTCTGCGGTGGTGTTGGCGCTGCCCTTTCTGCGTTGATGGCGACGGGGCCCACGGGATGATCATCTGTCGTCAGCGTTGATACATCAGGTTGAGAATGGATCTGCGCTGAAGTCACCGTAGCTGAGACCGGACGTTTCTTGTGATGAACCTCTGGGATGATGATCGGCTGATCATCGTACAGGCCCTGTTCTGCGACGGGAACAATCTCGGCCGAGAAAGTTCTAGTAGTCTGCGCTGACTTCCCCTTGGTGGTGGATGCTGCCCTGGGGGTGCGAAGTCTGCGCTGAGTGGTTGACGCCCTCCTAGTCTTGGACTGCGACGACGGGATGTCTGGCGATGCAGGTCTCTTCTTGGAGGTGGCAGACTTCGTCCCACGCCTCTCCTCCGAGGGAAACTCCAGCGGAACACCAGATGGTAGGGGGTCGTCCGACAGCAGTTGACTGGTGAGGGACTCAGCAGAATTATCCATGACTGGATCAACCCTCTGCGACCTATCTGCGGCACGTCTCAAGACGAAAAGAAGATATTTATTTAATGCACAAGTTGATAAATTTTTGCAATAATTGCAACGTGAGCTGAAAGAACATGGTACAGTACAACTAGGGCATATTAGGTGCGGGTCAGCAGCAGAAAAAAGTAACTTGCATACAGAACAGATTTTCATGAACGTAACCTACTGAACAAACACAGAATACACCGTGAATAAACAGTGGTAAATAAGAATAAATATCAAATCATATTGATGAAGGATACTAGCTAAACCTCTATAAAGGACTTATAGTGGTAATAAACTAAATAATAAAAGGATATAGTGCCGTAAGGAGACACAGGCGCTCTCACAACCTGCTCACTGGGCGAAGAAGGAGAGAGTGAAGCATGTGGGGAACAGTGGCGCCGTTTCCCGCCAAAAGCAGCAAAGAGGGGCGACTCTTGGTGAGTAGTGATTAGGTGATTTTACATACGCTTTTATTGAAGGGAGCTTCAATAAGGAGATACAAGTGTTCCACTATGTTCGCAAGAGGAAGAAGACAAGCAATTAAGCATGAGTCAGGATAAGGAAAAATAACATAACTAGCATACTACAGGTCTCACATACAATACTAGACATGAAACAATTGTTCAATGGAGTTACTGGAGCATCCAATGTTTACAAGCGTAACAAGGTCAACCTAGATTAATGAGAGGTTACTCTGAGATACGTCAATTTCAAATTCATGGGATGATTTTATGAAGTGCTATGAATAATTAAATTTTGGATTAAATTGACATATCTATTTGTTGTTGTTGTTGTGAAGTTATAAATATGCGTGATGTTTGTAGATTTCTTATATTCTTTAGCTGTGTACCACAATATACCAGTAGTTGCTTGTTATGACATCTTTTTTATATATAGCTAAGTAATTAAATATATCAGGCAGTCCTTTAAGTGAAGATACATTGTAAAGAAATCAAAACATTGTTGAAGGCATTTCTGTTTTCTTTCCAGAAGAAGATGATAAAAGAAAAATAAATAGTCTACGGACATATTACAGCAAAGAGAACAGAAAGTTAAGAACTCGAGGAAAAGTGGAGCTGGAACAGATCTACCAATCAATATGGACTTATTTTGATGTCCTTGATAATCTTCTAAAGGACCAAGCACAACCCAGGAGGACTCTGTCAAATCTTGTATGTTCAATTTATACAAAACTCAACTGCTACTCAACCTGTCCATTTGTTAAGAAATACTCTTGAAACTCATTTCTAATTTCTCTGTGGCTTGTTAGGAGCTCCTGTTTGAGCCTTGCCGGCTGACAGGCACGAGAGATGCGTCAACTCTACATTCATTTGTATTGCTATTGTCATGTTCCAGATCAGAGCATATCCATCATTCTTTGTGTGCAGATAATTGTGGAGAGACACTGCCGCTAGTACGATTGACTGAACTTTCTCAGGTTCCAAATTGATAGTCGGCTTGAAAATCTGAACGGCTTGAATATCTGAAATCTGTGAACAAGGATTCCAAAAGAATTCTCACTAACTCTCCGAGCTCGTGACAAATGGTAGTTGAAAATCCTTTTCATCAAGTTGTCCTTTAATGGAAATGCTTCATCGCCGACCATGACATAGGGAAATCTTGTATGTCCACCATGTAGGCAGGTTGGGGACAGGATGCCAAGAGTATTGTCATTCAGGGCTTGATTCATGTAAAACTCCCCCATCACTCCCGCGCCCATTGCACCCAACATCAACAAAAATGAACTTGTAATTGGCATCCACCAGCGCCAGGAGGACAATGCTCAAGTGACCTTCATGACAGTAGAATACACTGCCACTTTTCTTTGGGGCTTTGATAGCGATATGCTTTCCATCTAGTTAGGAAAGTTCCACTTCGTCATGAAATCATGTGCAGTTGTGTCCCACTTGTCAGGTGACGTTGGAACCTGCAATATAATGCAAACATTTAATCATTCTTTTCATTTATCATACTTACCCTATCTTTTGTATCCTCAGACACCAACAGACGATGAAAATGAGGCCAGTGAACTCTGATTCAGGCCTTAATCATGTCTAGACTAGATTGTTGTAACAGTCTCCTCTATGGCACCAACCACGACCTTCTTACACGCCTTCAAAGACAACCAAAATACTGCAGCAAGAACTGTCACCAGGACGTCCAAGAGGTCACACATCACCCCAGTTCTGAAAGACCTTCACTAGTTGCCCGTAGAGGCACGGATCCATTTCAAAACGTTATGTCTTGCTTATAGATGTCAGCATAACCTAGCTCCAGCATATCTCAGTGAACTAATCTTAGATCACAAGGCCCCCAGAAATCTCCGGTCAGACCACCAACATCTCTTGTCTGTTCCAAGAACTAAACTGACACTGTTTGGAGAAAAAGGCTTTCAGTGCATCAGCCCCAATACTTTGGATCACTCTCCTTCCTGCCATAAAGAATTCACCAACTATCGTCTCTTTTAAGTCCAAGTTAAAAACCCACCTCTTTGCTAAATATTGCTCTGAGTGATCTCTTCCAGTTCTGTTGAGACTTTTTAACTGTTTGTACAGTATATCAGCAGAGGAGTGTGACACTTCCACAAGCGCTTTGAGCATGCATGCTGGACGGACTATAGCGCTATACAAATACCCATATACATATACCTACTTTTTTCGCCTGAGAGGGGTCAGTGGCAGAAATGCTGTAACTTCTAGGTCACAAATGCCACTTCTCTACCAGTGTACCATAAGCAATCTCTACTTTCACAGTGACCATGTGTTGACCTGTTGTAGAACATTGTAAACCAAAAGTCACCGTGTTCTTTAATCTGATTGGTTGAAAAAACGTGATCAAATGGTATTTGATTCCCGGAAATTCTCTGCGTATTAATACATACAAACATCGCTCACACCATTGTATTGTTACGTCGTCAGCTGTGACGACGTCATTAAAATCATATCGTGACGTAAAGTCCAAATGACGTCACAAATGAGCAGTTCCAGATGCTACCATGGGAGACAGCCCAAACGGCCGACTGATGACATTTCACTGCTGTACCCGTACTCGATGTCAATGAGAGCAGACACAAAAAAACGTGTGTGGACCTTTTGGTTTACTTTTGTGTTTACAATGTCAATAAACATCATGTGTTGGCGAATTTCCAGCTGTTATTGAGTATTTGAAGCACGAGAATATTTCATTTGAAACCTCCGGCTGACGCTGTTGGTTCCAAATGAATTCCCATGCTTCAAATACTCAATAACACCCGGAAATTCACCAACACATGATGTTTATCTCCTAATTGACACGTTTACAGTAACCTCTAGTGCTCACCTAACCTCGATACCCAAGTTGATGTTAACAGTGTTGCAATTGCTTATGTTGTTAGACATGTGTTATTAAAGAGTTCCTTAAAGGTAAAACATTTTTTGACATTCTAAGGTGGAATGTCTGCACAAAGTGATGTGACCGTTCAAATGCAGATAAGAAATTGCTGTTTCAGCTACCGTTTGGTTAATTTGTATAAATACTTTATTTCAGTCTAGAACCGTTGGACGGTACTAAACCAATCAGTGCTGAATGCAATGGTATGAACCAAAACATTGTACGTTCATAAATAAAGTTATACTGACACAATCGGCCGCCATTTTGATTGTCTCATTCTTTCAGTCCAGGTTTAAAGCATTTTGTGAGGGTGCTCGTCGAGTTAAATTCATTACCATGTGTTCCACTCGTGCACACTTCGTTCTCGTTTGGTATATAACTCGTACACATGATAAATATCCATATCAAACTCACAAACACATGGTAACTTATAATAACTTACTCTTTCACTCTTTTAGTGCCCTTACCTATGTATTTGTTTATTATTTTGGTGCTTGTTGAAATGTATTGTGTTGTGATTTCATGATTTGTTGTGTTCTACGTGTTTTACGATGTAACCAAAAGTTCCCTCGGGATAATAACGTATTGTCTGATCTTATTTCAGCTGGCCTCTTTATCTGACAGTGACGAGGACCCAGTGCAGCTGTATTACCAAAACCTGAAAGGTATATTCAGGTATGCATTTACAGAATACTATACTTCTACTACTACTACTACTACTACTACTACTGACGACGACGACGACGACGACGACGACGATGATGATGACATTTATATTTACATTCTGATGCAAAATCACACATTGACCGTTTCAACAGGGAAGTGCCATGCACACTAAGCAGCAAATGTAAAACACATTGTGATCCACTTTTCAGGCACTCCGACATTAAATAAATTGTTAAAAAAAAAAAAACGCACGTAGAAAAATAAGGAAATGCATTTAAAGTATGTCTTAGTTTTAATGGCAGATCATTCCAGGGTCGTGGAGGATCGATCTCCATAGGTGGTGGTCCTTGCGTGTGAAACACACAGCATGCCTTGTCCCATGGATCTAAATGACCTCGCTGGCTTGTACTCCTGGAGGTGTTCCTGGAGATACATGTACACAGAGGCTAGGCCTGTCCTTGCTTTGAAGGTTACACTTTATAAGTGATTCTGTCAGACACCTTCAACCAATGAGGTTTCTTTAGTACTGGAGAAATGTGGCTGTCTTTCTTTGCCTTTGCTACAAGTCTAGCTGCACAATTCTGCAGCTTTGCTATCAATTGCTTTGGTAATCCAATAAGAAGAGCTTCACAGTAATTTAAATGGGGCACATCACAGCACTGGACAAGAAATGTTACAGTTTTTAGATTTAGAAATCGAGGTATTAGGGCAATGTGGGATTCATAGCTGAATCAAATACAAATCTCAGATTACGTCTTTCTTTGCTTGGATCAGTGATGCAAACTCTAATGTCAAAAGTGGGCAGAGCAAGTTTGGCTCTCGTTGACTTTGAACAGAGAAACAGCAGTTCCGTCTTCTCACTGTTGAGCTTGAGAAAGTTGATTGTCATCAAGTCATTGATGTCCTTAATACAATTCATCAAACAACGATATGTATCCTCTACTGATGTTCTGTTGGAGGGCTTGAAGGCCAGATACAGCTGTGTATCGTCAGCGTAGGGGTGGAACGAGAGATTATTGGCGAGAGCAATGTTTCCAAGAGGTGATGTGTAGGTAGTGCACATTGGTCCCAGTACAGAATTCTGTGGAACTCAATACTTGAGGCTAACTTTCTCTGACATTTGCCCATTGACTCTCAAAGCCTGAAATCGTCCTGACAGATAGGACTCCAGCCAGGAATAGGCTTCAGTGGTAACACTGAGTCTCTTTTTCAATCTGCTGACAAGAATGGACTGGTCAATTGTGTCAAAAGTGGCTGACAAATCGAGCAACACCAATACTGCTGCACCATCTGAATCAATTGTTTGTAGCAATATGTTAACACAAAGGGGCGTTGAGGTCAGTACCTGGTGACACCACACCTTGCATCTGTCACTGCTGGACACCACCTTGGAAGGAATGCACAAGTCGGACTTTCTGCATGAGAAATTCTTTGCCATTCCTCACGCTGGCAAGTTCTGCAAGTGATACTGAACCTAATGGTTGATAACTCAGGTAATCAACTGAAGATTGATGATAGCTTAGGGACCGTTCATAATTTATGGCTGGGGGGTGATGATTTTATGGAGAAGGATGTACAATGTGAATGAGCCCCCTACAAATAGTATGTAAAAAGTAAGTGACCCCCCTGCATGTCCTGTACAAAGTAAGCGACCCCCACCCCCCACCCCGCTTTTCATATATTTAAAGCATAATTTTTAAATATTCTAATGTATAAAATTGCTGACCCCCATAGAAACATATGTACAAAATTGATGACCCCCTCTACCTCCCCAGAACAAAATGGGTGACCCCCTTGAAATCATCATCACCCACCCCCCAGCCATAAATTATGAACTGTCCCTTATTCTTGGAAGCCTTTCTGGTTAAAGTCAGAGGAAAATCAATTTCTTTTTCACCTTTTCTTTAAAAGAAAACAATAGAAACGACAGTGAATTGGAAATTAAAATCAAAGATTGTTAAGATACTATTGGAAAAGATTGTTAAAATATGAATGAAGCCCTACTATCTGAACTTAAAAAATTTAAATTGGCATTGCAACAAATTAAAGGAGAAGAAATAAGAGGCATTCAACTCAGAAACAGAATCTTATGGTTTGAAGAAGGAGAAAAAGCAACCCAAAACATTTGCCATTTAGAAAATAAAAAAATGTTAGAAAATCAATAAATAGAATCATTACAGATAAAAATGAGAAAATTACTGACAGTAATTCAATATTAAATGAACTGAAAGAATTTAATAAAACACTTTATTCTTCAGATAAAAATTATGAAAATGATTACCACTTGGACAATGTGATAACTCCAATTTTGAGTGACTGACTTAGATAATAATTCGAAAAAGAAATAGACATGAATGAAATACCACTGGCAGTACAAATCATGAAGAATAGCAAAAGCCCTGGAATTAATTGATTTCCTAGATATTTCTTCAAGTATTTTTGGAGAGAACTTAAGATTTGGATTCTTAAATTTATCAAAGATCTTTTAGAAGAGATAAGATGTCTCTTACCACGAAGACAGGAGTTAAATCACTAATATAAACAGGATCCTGTTAAAGACATGGAGACAAATTACTTTATTCAATGCTTTGTATAAAATATTTAGGGCATGTATCTCTAACCGTTAATAATCATCTCAGATTCTTTGATCTATAATAATCAGACCGGGTAGAACACTTAGTGAAATACAGGTTATATGATCTTATGTTTGAAACAAAGGAAAGAGATATCCCTACTCTGTTGATTTCAATTGACTTCGAGAAAGCTTTTGACACAGTTTCTAAACATTTTATCAACGAAGTTTTACAAAACTTTGGTTTGGGGCCACAGATTATATGCTGGATTAATTTATAAACTTATGGTACACCTTCAAGTGTTACTCAGAATGGACATCTCTCTGATTCCTTCGGTAATGAGCGGGGTTGGAGCCAAGGTGATCCAATATCATCATATTTGTTCCTTTTTGTTGCTGAAATCCTTGGTGGAGTCTACTAATGCCTACAGTGAATAATGCCTACAGTGTTAAATAAACAACTTTACGCACCAGTGCTGCTGATTGCACCTGCCTTCAACCTTTCAATAAAGTGGCATGGTCCTATTTCAAAGTGCACTAATGCCTACAGTATATAGAAAACAGTAACTTTCTATGTTGAGAGACATTTTATTTGGTCATTCATATACATATGTACATTCATATACATATCTTTCACATTGTTGTCATATTTTTCTTAAACTTTATTCATATCTTTCACATAGTAGTTTGTTTTGAGATAAATAAATTTACATAAATAAACATAATCATTTATTTGGATTAAAATGTAATTAAAACTTAATTTGATTCATGATTATATATACATATATACATCTTTCACACAGTCAACTACCACATTCATTAATAAAGTCATTGTGGTAACCAAAAGTAATTTACATGTATAATTTTAAAGCAATACATTTCCTTCTCCCTTTAATAATCTCTCTATTAATTACTTTACTCTTCAATTTCCTTCTCGTGTGAGAACTAAATGCGTATGGAATTATCAAAACATAAGCTAGCTAATGATTTAATACTCTTGATCTTACTCTTTATTCTCCTTGCTGGCCTCCCCTAATCCCTTTGTAGGCAATAGTGCACACTAAGTGGAACAATCTACTTGTGTGCAGGTAAGCGTATCGCTGTCACTGCAAATGTTGTAGCTATTATTCCCTGTAGGCATTATTCACTGTAGGCATTAGTAGACCTAACCAAATCCTTGGATGTATGATAAGGCAAAATTATGATATAAAGGGTATTGTAATTGATATTCGGGAATATAAACTAGGACAATATGCTGATGATACTGAATTATTTTTGGATGGCTCAGATGAAAGTTTGTTTACTGCCATTGATACCATTAATACTTTTACAGTATGTCAGGGGTGAGGATACATATAGACAAGACTAACGCAACCTTGATAGGCTCCAATGCAGGTAGCAGATAAATAATTTATCAATAATTGAAGAGGCAAAGAATAACAAAGAAAGGAATTTGAAGTTTTGGATATTAAATTCACACCTGATCTGAATGACTTATTGGTAATCAACACAAGAAAAAGACTTGACGGAATTGATAGATTACTGGCAACATAGAGGGAAACAATTTTGACACTGATTGGCAAAATTGGTTCTTTCAAAATAAGTTCACATTTTCAATTCTTTACCTAACCCACCTGATGAATTTATCACTTCCTTTGAGAAATATTTTCCATATATATTTGGAATGTCAAAAGTGACAAAATCAAAAGGAACAGTTTCAAACAAGATTACAGAAAGGGGTTTAGGCATGACAGATATTAAAACCTCTGTTAAAGCCATGAAATTATCTACACTCAGAATCTAGTTGAGAAAAAACACATGAGTAATCCAAGCAATTTCCATTAAATGATCTATACTCAGTGCCATTATTGAAGGGTCATGTAGCAATAAGGTAATATAATGCTAAATAAGTATGCTGTGACAAGATTATGGAAAGAAGAGACAGTTTATTAACTGAAGAGAGTGTTTGGTGCTATGCTGTGAGAAAAGGATCAGGACTGTATCAACACGGACACCAAACAAAGGAATACCTCCAAAATGGAAAGTCACAACAATAGAGTCCATGACCAATCAGTTCTTTGTATCTGGTATCCACGCCATTCACTTCCCTTGTCCTCTTGTTAACACAGTCCAGCCTAGTATCCATGCCATTCACTTCCCTTGTCCTCTCTCTTGTTAACACAGTCCAGCCTAGTATCCACGCCATTCACTTCCCTTGTCCTCTCTCTTGTTAACACAGTCCAGCCTAGTATCCACGCCATTCGCTTCCCTTGTCCTCTCTCTTGTTAACACAGTCCAGCCTAGTATCCACGCCATTCACTTCCCTTGTCCTATCTCTTGTTAACACAGTCCAGCCTAGTATCCACGCCATTCACTTCCCTTGTCCTCTCTCTTGTTAACACAGTCCACCCTAGTAGTATCCATGCCATTCACTTCTATTATCCTCTTATTAACACTGTCTAAGACCACTAAGCTAAGTAATAAATTGGCCTGAGCAATGAGAAAAATATCAATGGCGATATCAAGATACTTGTGGGACAATTGTGACACAGGGATGCAGAAAGTCAAAGCCAATAGTCACTTTATTTTGAGAAAGGTGAATGGTTCTGTTAATCGGAGGAAAGGAGACGTGAAACTAAGCTTGTCTGTGTTAACCAGAGTACACGTGATGTAAAACTAAGCTTGACTCTGTTAACCAGAGGACAAGAGAGGTGAATGTGTTAATAACCAGAGGACAAAATGCCCTTGCCAGGTGAAATTAGGGCCAGTCAATTGAGTAGATTATAATCAGTGACTACCCTGACTAACTATGTGGTCTGGAAGTGTTATCTTACAGTTCAAGATTTCTGTCGACAATGATATTTTTGGGTATACATTCACATTGTGGTTACTGTTAGCACCGATGTTGCGACAGGACATCCCTGCGTCATGCACTGCCATAACTTGTCATCTTGTATTTTTTCAACGTCTACGTCATGCACTGCCATAACTTGTCATCTTGTATTTTCTCAACGTCTACGTCATGCACTGCCATAACTTGTCATCTTGTATTTTCTCAACGTCTACGTCATGCACTGACATGTCAAGAAACTTTCATTCTTGGTTCTGATTGGAGAATGAACACTTTTATCGCACTGTGCTGGGTGGGTTTGCAGCTCGTGAACATACGGACCATAGGTTTTGAGATATGCTTTACATGTGTATTCAAGTATACAAAGATACAACCGCCTGTTTGGCCCAGCACTTACAATATTGCAAGATGTTGGTGCATTAAAAATGCTCAAGTGTACATATCACGAGCTGTTCATGTTTGATGTGACAGTACAGATGTGATTGGATGCAACCACACGGTATTGTAAATTTAACCATCAACAATAGCTGTATTGCATTGCTATCAAACAGGCATTATTGACTAATCCTTGACGATGTGTTTAGTTTCAGGAAGGAGCTGAAGTATTTCTTTGAGGAACGATTTCAACCAATTTATGAGATCGATCCGGGAAGAGGTATACTGTCTTGCCTTCAAAGTACTGCTTTTAACAACATACCAATGTAATCATTACTCAATAACAATTAACTTGATTTTACACACTTTACCATGACATGGGTAAATGTGATCACCCTATAATAGATCCTAGAAGTTGAATTACAATCATAAAAACATATTTAGCTTAAGACAGAAAACTTCTCTGCCTTTATCTAGCATGTAATTCCTCCACCTCTCATAGCTCCAACACGTATATGTGTTTTATCTGTTGCATGCACCCTTATTACCTGTTTACCTCTTCCATCTATTTTCATCCAACATGGAATGACCACACCAATGATATTGTACGTAAAGTTCATTCCAGGATCAGTTAGAAAACTTACATCTTGATGCTTTGAGAACTATATGGGGTGCTGTTCACAAAATCCCTGGAATTCCTAGGGATTTAACAAAATCCCTGAAAATCACAATTTTTTTACATATTCCCTGAAATGAATATATCGCATTCTCAGTGTTTGTTTTGACAATACTGCTTGTAAATATTGCATGTGTATACAGTAACCAAAGATAAACAATATAAGGAAGTTAAAAATACTCATGTTTTACATACACTGAACGCCAAAAGAAACGTTACCCTCCTTCCTGAATGAATTTCTTAAAATCTGCTGAAGTGAGGATGAAACTTTCAGCTGCATTTTATGGCCAAACAATATGGAATCATATGGTCACTAAAGATTTTGAGAACATTGGTTGATTTTTCTGCTGCTGCAATGATATATTAGGTTAATTTCATAGTCCAGTTTTCGATCACACACAAAAGGACAACAAAACAATGTAAAGTTCATAATTTTGTTATTTCATGACTTTTTCAATATCTAGTGTGGCTACCATTGGCATGCAAACATGCCACAACACGTCTCCTCACAGAAAATGGCAATCGTCTGATGAAGGCAGCTGGAATACGGCGCCATTCTTCTCTCAGAGCAGTGATCAGTTGCGGTCGAGTGTGGGGCTGTTCTTGATGTGAGCAAACCCTGCAATTTAGATAGTACCACAAATGTTCATGTCTGACAATTCTGAAGGCCATGGCAAAACGTTAACGTTGTTGGCGTTGAAGAAGTTTGTCATCAATCGTGCAATGTGAGGGGTGCATTGTCCTGTTGGTAAAGCATGTTTGGGTGACGCTGCAAGAAAGGGAGAACCACAGGTTGGACAACCTGGTCAATGTAGGCTCGTGCCATCAATGACGACAAGGTCGGTGGCAACGTCGTCCCTGATTCCGACCCGAACCATCACACTGCCTCCCACTTGTGGAATGACGTCCTGAACACAGCATGGGGCTTCTCTTTCACCCCGACAACAGTACACCCTCCTTCTCCTATCTGCATGGTGGATCATAAAACGGCTTTCATCGGTGAACATCACTCGCTGCCAGTTCTTGTTCTGCCAACGTCGGACATTATGTGCCCACACAACCCTGTTTAGACGGTGCTGACGCGTCAGCTGTATCCCCTGCCTGTCTATACGGCCATAAACCTTGGACACGAAGTCTTCTTCTAACTGTTGTCGAACTGATTTGACATCCCAGAGCTGTCCTTACTGATGACGTCGCCGGTAGAAATCTGTTCCTCAGGTGTATTTGATGAAGGTACCTCTCTTCACCTGGCCCGGTGATGCGTGGACATCCACTTCTTGGCCTATCTACGGTGACCCCAGTCTGTCTGTAGCGCTGCATAAGTCTTATAACAATGATACGGTGGCATCCGAGGGTGTTGGCAACAGCATTGTACATCGACCCCATCTGCACCATCCCAATGGCTCTTTCTCTCTCTTCTGCTGTTAGACGAGGCATATTTCTCGTACTTGAGTATCATATCATGCATTCTTGGCTCTCTTTATACCCTAAATAATCATTTTATACGTGAAATTGATGCTACGTTTTGGCGATTGATTCTGGTATGTGTAAACAGAAAATGGAAAAATGTTCCTTTGCAAGCAAAAATGTCAACAAAAATAATTTTTGGTGTTCCTAAACACTTTTTCACAATATCACAGACACTTTGTACATGTTTTCACTAATGCAAATCAGCAGAAAATGTTATAAAAGACTGAAATCATATGAATGATTCTTTTACAATTTTACATACTCTACAACAGTTGTTTCTTGTTGTAATAGTTGAATAATGGTGACTTTAAATGGGTTATCTTTATCACCTAAATATGAATGCATTTGAACAATATTTTTCATGATCTGCATAAAGCTGTGTTATAAAGCTTTCTTGTAAACTAATACTTTCTAACATATCTTTGATAGTTTTTCAGTACTTCATAAAGATAGGTGGGTAACGTTTCTTTTGGCGTTTAGTGTATATGCTTACTGCCTGTTTAGCTGAACACAACACAACGGATTGGACCATGGGCTGGAAGTTCGTCCAGTTCCAGAAGAACTCCAGTTATCACAGTGGCATCAAGATGACACCCTTCACTGTTTTCACTGGCTCTGATGCCTCTGTTGGTCTCAACTCGTCCAGTCTCCCAGAAGAGGTTAATGCTAGACTTCAAATGACCTACTCAACCCCCTGTCGTCAGATACAGTACATTTGGCAGATCAACAACGAGAATCAGATCATCTTGAGCAAGAGCAATCAAGAGCCACAAGAGCAATCAAGAGCCGCAAAAGCACAACAAGAGCCACAAGCACAACGAGAGCCACAACCAGAACGAGAGCTGCAACCAGAACACTCTCCATCAACAGACCTTGTTGCTGAGAGACATAAAGACATCAGTAAACACAGGAAGAGGGCAGCAAAGTCGCAGATTCTTCAAGCAGAGAGAATGGCGAAATGGAGCAAGACTGTTCTCTCTGAGGTTGCAGTGGGTGACAATGTTACAATACTAATTCCTGGTGTTGACAGGGGGAGAGACGATCATAGGAGTTGTAATGGACATTACTGACAACGGCATGTACACACTTGCTGTAAAAGCCGGTGTCTCATGTGGAAAGTATTCACGCAACCAGTTTGATGTGTCGACTGAGAAACTTGTATCGCTGAGATCTGCAGTCCAGTCAGAGTCTGTATGTGGTGGACAGGGTTTTGTGAAACATAACTGTAGTGGCACAAAAAGTTGTCAGACACCAAGGTGCAAATGTCACAAGGCTCGGGTTATGTGTAGGTTCGATGCTCATGCTGTTCATCACTGGATTGTCTGGTCCAGACTCGATTATTTGATTATTTACAGACCGCCGCCATATAGCTGGAATATTGCTGAGTGCGGCATAAAACTAAACTAACTCACTCACTCACAAAAGGTACTCTGACCCATTGCATGATTATAGTAATTGAACACTGATGCAACATCTGATAGTGATAGATATTGTTTTTGTCACTTACATATTTATGCAACTATTTTAAATCTATAAAGGTTATTTTCATGTCAATGCAGAAAAATAATATAAAAAAATTTACCCGATTTTGTCCTTACTTATTACAAGCAGTATTGTCAAAACAATCACTGAGAATGCAATATATTCATTTCAGGGAATATGTAAAAAAATTGTTGGGATTTTCAGGGATTTTGTTAAATCCCTAGGAATTCCAGGGATTTTGTGAAACCACCGAGTAAATCAGGAATTTTTATAAAATCCCTGAAATTTTCAGCGATTATACAAAATCACTGATTTGATATATTCAGTGTAACATATATATCTTTACCTCTTCCATCTATCTTTGTCATAGTTTATATACATATAGGTGATTAAGTCATGTCCTGTTGACGTCTTTTTCTTGTAATAGGTTAATGATTAAGTCATGCCCTGTTTTTATCCTACAATGGGTTAATGTTTAAGTTTAATTCATCGTTATCCTAAAATGCTTACATCTTTTATTCGTGTCCTAATGTAATCCTAATATAAGTAAATGTGCAATTCCTGCTGAGTGATTTGAATACATGTTTAAACGTTCAACAGTCTCCTATCAGTTAATAAATGTCTGTTGAAATAAACTTCCCATATTTTCCTTCAGATAAGTCCAATCCTGGAAAATGTGTCGACATGTATCTTATTTATAATGGTTTTGATTTTCACCTCTGTTTTAGCTAGTGGTATCAAGTGGTACAACTTCGATTCTCGAGACCCTAGCATTCGCCATTGCTGAACATGGCGGTGAATATACTCCACATCCTTCCATGTTGTTTTGAGTATTCTTCTGATACCTCACTGACACCTTTACAAAAACACACCATGCTCATCATAAGAAACATATTGTTGCACCAAATTATTTATGCAGGGTGTAAGGGGTTGGGGTAGGGGGAGTCACACTTATATAAATCAACATCACCGAGTGGAAAATTCACAATGAATATTCATCCGTCTGTCCATCTGAACCCAAGTTATGAGACGACTTATTCAAGATAATGAGTGATAATATGAGAACAGAGAGCGAATGAAACATTGTCACACGACTGATGAAATACTGCATTATTTCTACTGTCAATAGAGGCGACAAAACTAGAACTCAAGGAGCAAATCAGCCAATGTTATTTCCTCTGTTCTTGTGGGTTTGAATTTGTAGGATGTAGTGTTTGCAATATTTGGTGAACCTGACGACTTTTGCTCTTATTGTAGTATTTAACACATTTGTAAAAACGGTATGTACTCCACTGATGAAATTCCACATTATATTCTTTGAGTCCTTGTGTCTTCCTGTTATGTGCCCATGTTCTGTTTTGTTTCACACTTTAGACTGCATCCTTGTGCCGACCCCATACTATTATCGTATAGCAAACGACTTCATGGAACGCGCTGGCGTAGAGTGTTGGCCTGTACCCCTCCTCAGCCAGGTAAGGCCTGTACCCCTATTCAGCCAGGTAAGGCCTGTACCCCTACTCAGCCAGGTAAGGCCTGGCCTGTACCCTACTGCCACCTGTACTCAGCCAGGTAAGGCCTGTACCCCTACTCAGCCAGGTAAGGCCTGTACCCCTACTCAGCCAGGTAAGGCCTGTACCCCTACTCTGCCAGGTAAGGCCTGTACCCCTACTCTGCCAGGTAAGAACATCTCGACATAGTTATAGGCTCCGTGTTTCAGGCAGTAGTCAGCATGGTCCCATGTTTCATGAGTATTCCTGTCTGCGGCGATTCATTGGTTCCGAATCAGAAGGGATGGGCTTCCCACCTGTTAAAGTAGACTTCTGTGCTTCAAAACTGGAACGGCTTGTCTTCGGACCTGGCGCCAATTCAATTCAATTCCTTTATTCTCATTCAACCACCATCGTGGTACAATTGAAGACAAGA